ATAGATCTATATTTTACAGTGCGAAGTCTACTTTTCTTTGAACTTCCCGGCTTTAGACACACTTATAAATTAAAGCTTTTATTGTTGGGCTGATTTCCGTTTGACAAACGTACTGGTAATTTACTCACACTGATCCGGCAAGTGGAAATTTGTGGCGTTGTAATCTGTCGTGTTAAATAGTGTCATAGTTAATGGTGTTGTGTTCAATGGTGACATAGTTAATGGTGTCGAGCTTAATAGTGTTATCGTTAATGGTGTCATAGTTAATGGTGTCATCGTTAATGGTGTCATCGTTAATGGTGTCATAGTTAATGGTGTCGTGTTAAATGGTGTCATAGTTAATGATGTCGTATTAATGATGTCGTGTTAATTGTGTCGTGTTAAATGGTGTCATAGTTAATGGTGTCACGTTAAATGGTGTCATGTTAAATGGTGTCGTGTTAATGGTGTCGTAGTTAATGGTGTCCTGTTAGATGGTGTCATAGTTAATGGTGTCGTGTTAATGTTGTCATAGTTAATGGTGTCGTATTAAATGGTGACATAGTTAATGGTGTCATAGTTAATGGTGTCGTGTTAAATGATGTCATCGTTAATGGTGTCCTGTTAGATGGTGTCATAGTTAATGGTGTCGTGATATTGTTGTCATAGTTAATGGTGTCGTATTAAATGGTGTCGTGTTAAATGGTGTCATAGTTAATGGTGTCATAGTTAATGGTGTCGAGCTTAATAGTGTTATCGTTAATGGTGTCATAGTTAATGGTGTCATCGTTAATGGTGTCATAGTTAATGGTGTCGTGTTAAATGGTGTCATAGTTAATGATGTCGTATTAATGATGTCGTATTAATTGTGTCGTGTTAAATGGTGTCATAGTTAATGGTGTCACGTTAAATGGTGTCATGTTAAATGGTGTCGTGTTAATGGTGTCATAGTTAATGGTGTCCTGTTAGATGGTGTCATAGTTAATGGTGTCGTGTTAATGTTGTCATAGTTAATGGTGTCGTATTAAATGGTGACATAGTTAATGGTGTCATAGTTAATGGTGTCGTGTTAAATGATGTCATAGTTAATGGTGTCCTGTTAGATGGTGTCATATTTAATGGTGTCGTGATATTGTTGTCATAGTTAATGGTGTCGTATTAAATGGTGTCGTGTTAAATGGTGTCATAGTTAATGGTGTCATAGTTAATGGTGTCGTGTTAAATTGTGTCATAGTTAATGGTGTAGTGATAATGTTGTCATAGTTAATGGTGTCGTATTAAATGGTGTCATAGCTAATGGTGTCATAGTTAATGGTGTCGTGTTAAATGATGTCATAGTTAATGGCGTCGTGTTAAATGATGTCAAAGTTAATGGTGTCGTGTTAAATGGTGTTACAGTGAATGGTGTCGTGTTAAATGGTGTCATAGTTAATGGTGTCGTGTTAAGTGGTGTCATAGCTAATGGTGTCGTGTTAAATGGTGTCGTGTTAAACGATGTCGTGTTAAATGGTGTCGTGTTAAATGGTGTCGTATTAAATGGTGTCATGTTAAATGGTGTCATAGCTAATGGTGTCGTGTTAAATGGTGTCGTGTTAAACGATGTCGTGTTAAATGGTGTCGTGTTAAACGATGTCGTGTTAAATGGTGTCATGTTAAATGGTGTCATAGTTAATGGATTCCTGTTAGATGGTGTCTTACACTCACTCACTCACACACCCACCCAAATTTCCAAATGTACCCAATCCACTCATCCAGCCTTCCAGTCACACACATACCCACCATATGTGAAACCACCATCAAATCCTCAAGTTCACCTTTCATACACTCCTTGGGTCACGTCCCACCCACCCACATACCCACCATATGTGAAACCACCATCAAATCCTCAAGTTCACCTTTCATACACTCCTTGGGTCACGTCCCACCCACCCACATACCCACCATATGTGAAACCACCATCAAATCTTCAAGTTCACCTTTCATACACTCCTTGGGTCACGTCCCACCCACCCACCCACCAACCCACATACCCACCATATGTGAAACCACCATCAAATCTTCAAGTTCACCTTTCATACACTTCATGGGTCACGTGGCTTGCACTAATTAACCCCATCGATTCAAAGCGCCCCCGGTCTGGTGACTAAAATTAACAGGTGTGCTTAATTAGTAAGTCTAACCTTACCGGGTTAAGGATACGGCGTTATTTATTTTATAAACTTGTGCCATCATTCAAAAGGTTGCTGTAAATCAGAGGTCTCCAAACTTTTCAGTCCGAGGGCCACATTAACTATCAAATTTCAGTTCGGGGGCCAGTTTCTTCCAGAAATGTCTTTGAATTCTCTGGGCAAAGTTCCTCCGCCATCACCAACAAACATTTTTTTCCGTGGACAAAATGATCTCCGCGGGCCGGATGAGAGGACATCGCGGGCCGCATTCGGCCCGCGGGCCGTAGTTTGGAGACCCCTGCTGTAAATGAATGCGTCTATGATAAACCAGTTCCATTATTGAAAAGGTTTGCTATAATGATGTGCGTCTATAATAAACCAGTGCCATTATTTAAAAGGTTGCTGTAAATGAAGGCGCCTGTGACGACATACGTGATAATAGCAAAGATGGAGGGGGTATGCGTGTTTTGTAAAACAAGTGGAACAAGGAACTTGTCGAGAGGGGGAGAGTCAGAGGCGTAGTAGCGACCTATTCCGGCGCCCAGGGCGGATTATAAATTTGCGCCACTCCCCCATTTTTATAGCTATCCGTGATCCCGAAAAAGCGCCTCCACTCGCACTTTGGAAAGGTCGGAATCTCTTTTTACCATACACTGTTTCTTAACAGATTTTCTGTTTGTGTAACAATTGATCCGGCACATAGTTATATAAGTTAGTAAATCGACATAGTAGTCTGTTTTGTAACTTCGACGGGAAATGCAGCTCAAAATGACCTTTCAATTTTTTTTTGTAACCGGTATGGCGCCCCCTAGGTTCGGTACCCGATGCGGCTGTCCCACCTGCCCTCCCCTAGCTACGCTTCTGAGGAGAGGTTAGGCAATATCTCTGTAACAATATATGCTGTATGTCTTTATGTTTGGAAGGGTGTTGAAACAATACACTACTGTACGACAGTATTGCACAGACGACCCCAAAAGAATTAGCACATAGGACCTAACTCGGCTTAACTTGTGAAATACTGCATGACCTTGGGAAATCCGAAGTGTCTGATGTTTTTTTTTTATACCTCCCATTTTTTCATTTTTTTTGTTTTGTTTATCGCGAGATATTTAAAAAACGAAATTAAATTTTTATGTAGCTAAAATGAAATATTAATCCCCCGTCGTCGTGTCTTCTATCAGGGTCTACAACTCTGTGGATTATTTTAAAGCCAGTGTACACACATTTTGGTGACGTAATGCTGAAGCGGAGATACAAGAACTCGATATTATCGGGAAGAAAAAAAAAACATTTTTAGCAACCACTTTTTGGTCATTTTTACTTTCTCGTATATACGAAGTATAGAGAAAGTATTGTAATCGTGCACAAAAATAACATGAAATTTTAACAGTTTTCACCGTTTTACTCCTCAGTCCTTCATCACATCCGGAGTATAGAGGACTTATTTTAATCAGGCAAAAATTATAAATACAAATATATAAACATTTTGGCGTTTTATGCGTTATCGAGTCGTAAAAACTGGACTTTGCAATTATGTCCGTTGTCTGTGTGTCTGTGTGTAAACACGATAACTTGAGTACCGTTACAGCTAGGTTGATGAAATTTTATATATAAGTATTTTATGAAAATCGTAGATCCTGATCAACTTTTGAGCGATTTCCGATAACCGGAAGTGGTACTTTTTCTTCTTTGAATTTTTCAAAAGCCTAGAACTTGAGTACTATTTTAGATAGATAAATGAAATTTCACACGTAAGTAAAAGATTTAATTCTCTACCTTCTGTCAAATTTTGAGAAATTTCCGTTGATTGAAAGTACTAATTTACGCTATTTCCGATTTCTCAAAAAACGAATGTAAATTTATAAAGTACTAATAATATTCCGCACTATTATGCACGTTTTTTTTTTTTTTGGCGTTCACAGCTGTGCAATTCTTTTTTCTACGAGATTTTATTCTATTTTAAAAAGTTTAAGTTTTTAAAATGGATTAAAATTCATGTCTATATCCCGAGTTCCCATCCCCTGTTTTTTTTATAAAAGAATATTCGAGAAAGTTTTGGGGAGATCGCTCCCGGTTTATTTTTTTTACAACATTTTAACGGCAACCTCATTAAGGCGACCTCTCTAAGACAACTTCTGTACAAAAACGTCTTCAAGACATCTCGTTACAACAACATATTTCAGCCACTGTTGCCAAGGTAGGGCCTAAAAAAATGTTGACAGATTTTTGTTAACAACCTTTCAACGACCGTCTTTCAGCGACCGTCTTTCAACGACCGTCTTTCAACCCCTCTACTTCATTAGAAAATTAGCCAGCGTACCACTGCTTACCTCCAGAGGTCGTGATCTGAACTGTAATAAGTGTCTTGACCTTACTAAGGGCGTACCGGTTACCAGACACCGCTTACTCAAGCGGAACTCTAACTCATACTGTTCATCTCCTGTCAGTGGAGACATTCGTTTCGCTGTATTGAGTTTTTCGCCCACCGTGAAAATGACAGACGAGAGCGGAGTTTTTGACCAATGCGTTGATAAGAGTTTAGAATTTAGGTCACACGCGGGAGTTTCGGAGTCAAAACAACGTGTATGTGTGGAGGTGGGGGGAGGGGGTGGGGGGGAGGGGGTGGGGGGAGGGGGGGGGGGGGAGAGGGGGGGGGGAGGGGGGGGGAGGGGGGGGGAGGGGGGGTTGCCGCGGTGTGTGTGTGTGTGTGTGACCACTTAATGAGTGACGTCTGGTGCCCGAGGACCTTGGTCTATCATTCACGAGAACCCCGCCACAAAGCGGGCGGCTCGCTTTTAGGTTAGCCTAGCGGTGGATAGCGCGGCTTTGTGTGGTGGATGGCGTGGCTGTGTGGTGGAGGCAGACGGTACTGACGGGTCAAGGGAAACGGTGTGTGGGGGGATGTGTTGGAACAACGGCAGGTGTCTGATGTTTACCTGGAATTCTGTTAGCAGCGTGTAGGATTTACCTGAGTTCTGTTGGAACTGTGTTGAACGTTTTTGTTTACAAATTTAAGGATTTAGAAGAACAAAACGCAGATTTACAACTCGATATTTTGGTGGTAGTTTTGTGCCAGATTGTAACTTAGGCCTTACGTTTATTTTATGGGTAAGTTTAATTTCATCAAACTTTAATTTGTTAGGATATTGATATATTATTTACATTTTCGAGGCATTTGATTGGTGGGTTTAGGATTTAGATCTAGATTCTACCTGTTTAATTTGGTAGCAGGTGGCGTAATCGTGGATTAGGATTATATCACTAACCGTGGCGTGGTCGGTGGACAGAGCACACGATTTACAACCTGAAAGTCTTGAGTTCAGATCCCGGATACCAGTCCATTAAAGAGTCCACCCTGTATTAGTTTACTATTATGAGGTCTACATTCCACACAATCTTAGCAATACTGAGACATTACACATGGCACTGGTGAATATTTAACAAACAAAGAAAGCAGGCGTACATTGTATATGTAGAAATGTTTAAAACATGTGTTTGTGTTGTCAAATATCGTTTTCTCATGACATAGACCTAAAGCAACACACTTATATAGAATATTCTTTCATTTTAACACAACACACGCACATGCTATACGCACACATTACACGCACACATATGCCACACGCACACAAGGTGACATTACACGCACATATGCTCCCCACACACAAACTGTGCAGCCCATTTAGCCTTTTAATTGTGACCGCGCTTACTCAATGGCAGCTGAGCTCGACTTAAACTAGGTTTAAGTCAAGCAAGCTGTTTTAGCACTGTAGGTTTAAGTCAAGCAAGTTGTTTAGTACTGTAGGTTTAAGTCAAGCAAGTTGTTTAGTACTGTAGGTTTAAGTCAAGCAAGTTGTTTAGTACTGTAGGTTTAAGTCAAGCAAACTGTTTTAGTACTGTAGGTTTAAGTCAAGCAAGTTGTTTAGTACTGTAGGTTTAAGTCAAGCAAGCTGTTTTAGCACTGTAGGTTTAAGTCAAGCAGGCTGTTTTAGCACTAGGTTTAAGTCAAGCAAGCTATTTTAGCACTATAGGTTTAAGTCAAGCAAGCTGTTTTAGCACTAGGTTTAAGTAATCAACTCTTTTGTCGCTGTGTAGTTCGGAGTTTGTTACAACTTGTCAATCAACTACATGTGTTTGCGACTTGCTTTGAAGTGCTGAGCGAAGTGTCATTGATTGTGAATTGTTTTGTAGGTTTTGTTTTATGATTCACTTTCCTGTGAGTATTTTTTTTATTGTTGTGATGATTGACGATTGTTTTATGTGTAAATCGATATGACTTTTATGTTAGCTGTTAACTGGGTTTCGTTAATTACTTTAGTAGTACATTCGTGTAGGAAATTGATACTTTATTAATTTACTTAAGGTGTTTAAGTGTTATATTTTATGTGTACTTTAATTTTTGTTTAAATTTTCGCATTAATTTAAAATTTCTACATTGTGTTGGCTTTTCGTACTTCTACAATCCCAAGACTTTTGGGGTATCCGGATTTAGAACAAGATGGAGTCCGTAACATTTTGTTGGGATCGAGTACTATTTTGTTGGGATCGAGTACTCATATTTCGGGACCTTACAGTGTTAAGTGATCACCCACAATGTTCAGCGACCCCCACAGTAGCCAGTGACCCCCACTGTGTTCAGTGACCCCCCCCACTCAGGGTTCAGTGACATCCCCTACACACACTTTTCAGTGGCCCCCACAATGTTCAGTGACCATCATACACATAGGGTTCAGTGACACTTCCACAGTGTTCAGTAGCCCCCCCCCCCCTCCACAGGGTTCAGTAGCCCCCACAGGGTTCAGTAGCCCCCACAGGGTTCAGTTCCCTCCCACAGGGTTCAGTAGCCCCCCAAAGGGTTCAGTAGCCCCCCACAGGGTTCAGTAGCCCCCACAGGGTTCAGTAGCCCCCACAGGGTTCAGTGCCCCCCCACAGGGTTCAGTAGCCCCCCCCACAGGGTTCAGTAGCCCCCCCCCCCCCACAGGGTTCAGTAGCCCCCCACAGGGTTCAGTAGCCCCCCACAGGGTTCAGTAGCCCCCCCCCCCCCGTCATGGTTCAGTGCCCCCCCCCCCCACATGGTTCAGTAGCCCCCCACAGGGTTCAGTGCCCCCCACATGGTTCAGTAGCCCCCCACAGGGTTCAGTGCCCCCCACTGTTCAGTAACCCCCACAGGGTTCAGTGCCCCCCCCACATGGTTCAGTAACCCCCACAGGGTTCAGTGCCCCCCCACATGGTTCAGTAGCCCCCCACAGGGTTCAGTGCCCCCCACAGGGTTCAGTAGCCCCCCCCCCCCACAGGGTTCAGTAGCCCCCCCCCCCTCCCCACATGGTTCAGTGCCCCCCCCCACATGGTTCAGTAGCCCCCACAGGGTTCAGTAGCCCCCACAGGGTTCAGTTCCCTCCCACAGGGTTCAGTAGCCCCCCAAAGGGTTCAGTAGCCCCCCACAGGGTTCAGTAGCCCCCACAGGGTTCAGTAGCCCCCACAGGGTTCAGTGCCCCCCCACAGGGTTCAGTAGCCCCCCCCCCCACAGGGTTCAGTAGCCCCCCCCCACAGGGTTCAGTAGCCCCCCACAGGGTTCAGTAGCCCCCCACAGGGTTCAGTAGCCCCCCCCCCCCCCCCGTCATGGTTCAGTGCCCCCCCCCCCCACATGGTTCAGTAGCCCCCCACAGGGTTCAGTGCCCCCCACATGGTTCAGTAGCCCCCCACAGGGTTCAGTGCCCCCCACTGTTCAGTAACCCCCACAGGGTTCAGTGCCCCCCCCACATGGTTCAGTAACCCCCACAGGGTTCAGTGCCCCCCCACATGGTTCAGTAGCCCCCCACAGGGTTCAGTGCCCCCCACAGGGTTCAGTAGCCCCCCCCCCCCACAGGGTTCAGTAGCCCCCCCCCCCCCTCCCCACATGGTTCAGTGCCCCCCCCCCCCACATGGTTCAGTAGCCCCCCACAGGGTTCAGTGCCCCCCACATGGTTCAGTGCCCCCCCACATGGTTCAGTAGCCCCCCACAGGGTTCAGTAGCCCCCCCACATGGTTCAGTGCCCCCCCCCCACATGGTTCAGTAGCCCCCACAGGGTTCAGTGCCCCCCACAGGGTTCAGTAGCCCCCCCACAGGGTTCAGTAGCGCCCCCCCCACATGGTTCAGTGCCCCCCCCCCCACATGGTTCAGTAACCCCCACAGGGTTCAGTGCCCCCCCCACAGGGTTCAGTGCCCCCCCCCACATGGTTCAGTGCCCCCCACAGGGTTCAGTAGCCCCCCCACAGGGTTCAGTAGCCCCCCCACATGGTTCAGTGCCCCCCCCCCACATGGTTCAGTAACCCCCACATGGTTCAGTAACCCCCACATGGTTCAGTGCCCCCCCCACATGGTTCAGTAACCCCCACATGGTTCAGTGCCCCCCCCAGTTCAGTAACCCCCACAGGGTTCAGTGCCCCCCCCCACATGGTTCAGTAACCCCCACATGGTTCAGTGCCCCCTCCCCACTGTTCAGTAACCCCCACAGGGTTCAGTGCCCCCCCCCCACACACAGGGTTCAATGCCCCCCCCCCCCCACACACAGGGTTCAGTGCCCCCCCCCCCACTGTTCAGTAACCCCCACAGGGTTCAGTGCCCCCCCCCCACACACAGGGTTCAGTGCCCCCCCCCCCCCCCACTGTTCAGTAACCCCCACAGGGTTCAGTGACCTATGTAAGATTGTGCAGGGTCTCCCACAAGTTTCTCAAACGTGTAACATTCATTCTGTCCCTCCGTTATAATCCATCTCCTGCCATCGTTCACGCCTCACTGCCAGTCCCTACCATCACCCCCCCCCCAGTACACACCCCCACCCCCCAGTACACCCCCCTCTCACCCTTGCTTTCTGCACCCTTATAACAATCCAATGCCAAGACCCCCCTAATCTTTCTAACACAGACCGGCTTAATTAACACATCGTGTCATCACACGGACCGGCTTAATTAACACATCACACGGACCGGCTTAATTAACACATCGTGTCATCACACGGACCGGCTTAATTAACACATCACACGGACCGGCTTAATTAACACATCACACGGACCGGCTTAATTAACACATCGTGTCATCACACGGACCGGCTTAATTAACACATCACACGGACCGGCTTAATTAACACATCACACGGACCGGCTTAATTAACACATCGTGTCATCACACGGACCGGCTTAAATAACACATCGACACGGACCGGCTTAAATAACACATCACACGGACCGGCTTAATTAACACATCGTGTCATCACACGGACCGGCTTAAATAACACATCGTGTCATCAACGGACCGGCTTAAATAACACATCGTGTCATCTCACGGACCGGCTTAAATAACACATCGTGTCATCACACGGACCGGCTTAAATAACACATCGTGTCATCACACGGACCGGCTTAAATAACACATCGTGTCATCACACGGACCGGCTTAAATAACACATCGTGTCATCACACGGACCGGCTTAAATAACACATCGTGTCATCACACGGACCGGCTTAAATAACACATCGTGTCATCACACGGACCGGCTTAAATAACACATCATGTCATCACACGGACCGGCTTAAATAACACATCGACACGGACCGGCTTAAATAACACATCGTGTCATCACACGGACCGGCTTAAATAACACATCGTGTCATCACACGGACCGGCTTAAATAACACATCGTGTCGTCACACGGACCGGCTTAATTAACACATCACACGGACCGGCTTAAATAACACATCGTGTCGTCACACGGACCGGCTTAAATAACACATCGACACGGACCGGCTGAAATAACACATCGTGTCATCTCACGGACCGAAGCACCCAGGCATGACGCTGGAGTCAGTTCTCAACGTATCCATCTGTGGAGTTGTATTCACGCTTTAAAACTTCCTGATTTCAACGATCTTCTTTTCTTACCTGTCTTTCGTCCACCTCGCTGAACTGTAGACTTTATCCACCACTGCGCCAGTTTCAGATAGCCGTCATAACTCTTTGAACGTCGTCGTATTTTCCCGTGGGGCAGATGAAGTAGGGTTTATCTCTTTAAGAGACATGAAGGGATAGTGTGGTCAGCACTAAGTCCAGATGCCTTTGTTTCCCCAAGTGT